GTCAGAAAGTCTAAGATTGGTGAGCTTGAATTTATCGCAAATCCAAGATCGGTGGACCCGGTTTGATCGCCATCAAATGTGCCAAATTGCTCTAAGTCTCGAAAGGGTTCAGATTCACGAAATTAAAGACTTATTCAGGCCCAAATTCGAAAGGGTATTGAGCAAGCCTAGAGATACGAGGCACTTGGGCTTTGAACAGATTCGATCGCAATCTATAAGTCGCTCCATTGGTGAGTCCTAGAACATTTGCAGACTTGGAGCATTTTGGGATTGACCCACCAGAATCATGAGTGAGGTTAGAGCCCGAACAAAGGGTTTGAGTCCCAAGAACGAGGGGTGGAGATAAATTCACTCATCAGTTAATTTAGCCTATATTTGGGTCGAGGTAGCATGACCCCAGGGGGTCCATGAGACTCGGCAATATTTAGCGCCGGGGGGTCCTCTAGGATTACCTCAGCCCCTTGGGATGATTAGGGATCATTGGTTAAGTGTAACTAAGAAGAAGGGTTTGCCGAGAGGTTGATCTCCTCTTCGGGGTTTTCCTCATCCTCGGAAAGGTCACCTCCTCAGACAATGTGGTTACAGAGAATATTCCCCATGTGCCTTGCACATGGGCTCCATCTTACATCATAAGGTGTCTATAAATAGCACCCACCTATAGCTTTAGAAGAGATGGATTTTGGAGAGACAACTCTTGGGAAAGAACTAATTTTCCTTCTCCATTATCAACCTTGAGAGTGAAAGTGAGAGATCCATGTGAGAGCCTTGCCATTATTTTCTCTCTAACTACTTTGTCATCTTCTTCACCCAATCTTTTACCTCCATTATCTCTTTACTTTTGTGTTCTTAGTTGTGACTATTGAAGAATCTAAGCCTCTCATCATTTCTAAAGGAATTCGAGTCTTCTTCAAAGATCTTCGAATTCTCCAACAATGTTCTTTAACCCTTCATACATTTGGCGACTCTACTGGGGAGGCGGATTGGTTAATGATCTCAACGAGATCCGGAATCCACACATCTCCATCAAGAATGGCGGGAGAAGATGAAATCCACCAACAAAGATCCTGTAATGGTGGTGATGACAGGACCATGGCTCCAGATCAACCACTTTTACTCGAAGCCATTGAAGGACTTCAAAATACTCAGCAAGAGATTCTTACCACTCTTTAGAATCACACTCACACCATGTTGGTGATGAGTTTTAATTTTGCACCGGCGCCAAACGAAAATCAAACTAGCGGTGAAGTTATCCCCACCGGAGTGCAGAATCAAACCGAAGGAGAAGTAGGCCCCAGTCAGCCTGTGGCTTATGGCAATACAACAGCAGCAACACATGCCCAAACCACAGTAGGCGGCAGCAATTTGCTCATGCCCGGGCTCCATGGGGTGCTAAGCTAAGATCCAATGGTGACTAGAGGAGGTTCTGGTGTAATGAATGGCGCTCCAGCGACTGTTGATGTCCAGAAAAATATAAGGGGCATGATGGTGCAAAAGGGAGCTCTGCCCATACCTAATCTTGTTCCACCACTAGTAAATGTTACTCAAGTATTGAGTGTCTTTTAGTGCTGACAACAAATTTGCAAGCCCAACCCGGTATAGCTGCGCCGTGCGGTGGACTTTATGGGCCTCAATTCAATGTCCCATCACCAACTGGCTTGTCCATAGGTGCTAATGGCCAGTATCGTCAAGTGTCTTCACCAATGATGAATTCTCAACACCAGAATGGCCAAGTTGCTCTTAGCTCAGTCTTTGGGTCCATAAACCAAGTTCTGCGAATGCCACCATCAAACTCTCTCCCTCAACAGTTTCTCACTCTTGCCGATGTGCAAGCTATGTTTGATCTCAAACGGGCAAGAGAACTTTACCCTCTTTGCCCGACCCGGATGTCAAGCCACCATACCCTATTGAGATGCTGAGCTATCCATACCCTTAGGGGTATACATTGCCGAAGTTTATCAAATTCGATGGCAAACAAGGAAATGCTCGAGAACATGTTGTGCGATTCATCGAGACTCTAGGCATTCATGGTTCAAACCACGTCCTTCGGCTAAGAGAGTTCTCTAAGTCCCTCACTGACCAAGCATATAGTTGGTATGTTCATTTGGCCCCAAACTCTATCCGAAGTTGGGAAGAAATGGTCAACAAATTCCACTCAAAGTTCTTTCAACTAGTGGAGAAGGTGAACACACTTACATTGTGTAAGGAAAAACAACGAGAAAGTGAGGACATCCTTGATTACGTCAAAAGATTTCAAGACAAGGTGGTGGATTGTCATGAAGCTGTGGAGGAGAGTTATCTGGTTCAAATCTATTTAGAGGGGGCATTGAATAGGTACAAATTGTTTTTGGTTAATCACAAGCTACCCACCTTCTCAGCACTGATAAAAGTAGCTCGAAACATTAGCACTCCTCAGGCTCAGTAGTTCGGATTTAAGGCTAGTTACAAGACTAGCTTCAAATCATCTCGTGGACATATTGTTGTTGCTGCCTCTGCCCCAGACACCCGGAAGTCACAAGGAGGGGGTCATATAGGCCAGAATAGGAAGCAATATAGTGATGAAAAGGGCAATATTTCTCATCCATGTGGAATCGAAGAGGCAAAAGCTCTAGTTAAGGAATGGGTGGCAGAAAGAGAGCTAAAATTGCCTTATGTCGAGGAAATTCCATCAAAGAAGGACTGCGAGAGCCCCCAGTTTTACGTCTATCATCGCACATTGAAACATCCGACAGAGAAGTGTTGGACTCTTAGGAAAATCTTCAGAGATAAAGTCGAGGTAGACGAATTAAGGTTCAAAAAGTAAGGGACTCAAGACATCCAAGAACAACCATATCCTTAACACCGAGACAGTTGCTGCTGCCTCTGCCCCAGACACCCGGAAGTCACAAGGAGGGGGTCATATAGGCCAGAATAGGAAGCAATATAATGATGAAAAGGGCAATATTTCTGATCCATGTGGAATCGAAGAGGCAAAAGCTCTAGTTAAGGAATGTGTGGTAGAAAGAGAGCTAAAATTGCCTTATGTCGAGGAAATTCCATCAAAGAAGGACTGCGAGAGCCCCCAGTTTTACGTCTATCATCGCACATTGAAACATCCGACAGAGAAGTGTTGGACTCTTAGGAAAATCTTCAGAGATAAAGTCGAGGTAGACGAATTAAGGTTCAAAAAGTAAGGGACTCAAGACATCCAAGAACAACCATATCCTTAACACCGAGACAGTGGCAAGAATGTTGCTATGATAGCATATGAAAGCCTGATGATTAAGGATATCGCCAATCTCGATGACGACGATTTTTATCTGGACGACACCTTTGAGCCCGAGGGTGAACAAGTTTATTATGGAAGTGTGCTCGATCCAGAGAGCAGAGCCTTTATGGCTCATATCGAAGGTTTCCTCAATCCAGAAGAAGGAGAAGAATACTACGGAAGAGGGGGACACCATGTTTATGTGGCATCTTATTTTAAAGAGACCGAGGAGATGGTTAACTATGAGCCTCCAAGAGTGGAGAAGGATCCAGATCACTACGCCAAAACCCTGCAAGACTGTGTAAAGTGCAAGCAATTTTTCGACTAGCTTGGACTTTCTAGGGAACAGAAATCACCAAGGCTATCATCAATATAGCCGAGGCACACCATGAGGAATGCAAGTTGGCAGAGGGATCTATCCCGAGGAAGGAAAAAGAGCAATCTAGTGTCATTACTTTCTCCGAGACTGATCGAAAGTATCCCTTTTCTCACAACCGCCCGCTTTATGTGACTACTTTTATTAATGAGGTTGAGTTCAAAAGGGCCCTTTCTAGACAGTGGAGCCTTTATCAACATTATGACTCGCGCTACTCTAGAGAAGGCCGGAATCTCTAAAGAGCGCATTGTGAAGTAGCCAATAGTCATTACTAGCTTTGGTGGAGAAAGGAGAGTTACTTTAAGATGTGTAACAACTGATTTAGCTATCGAAGAGATTCGCTCATTCACCAAGTTCAATATTATTGACTCCGAGGCAAACTATCACATCATTCTAGGGAGGACCTGGATGCATAGATATGGAGCTGTACCGTCGAGTTATCATTAGTGTGTTAAGGCTAAATGGGGAAAGAAGATGGTGACAATTCAGGCTACAGAAAGGCCTTTCAAAACTCATGAAGCCCACTATTCTGATGCCATCTACTTCACCAAATTATCTATCGAAGAAAGTCCCACCACCTCTAAGCCTCGGGGGGTCAAAATTTCTCGTTGGGAGGATATCAAAGATGATAAGGGGCCAAAGGCAGAATCAAGTAAGCGAATGACGCCTCGACCAGAAAGTTCACTTATTTCTCGGAAAGTGATGAAAGTTCAAGAAGCAGGCAAGATAGTATACTATTTATGAAGGCGCAGGGAGTTGGTTTCTTTAGCAGTCGACTCCGGGTCAAAAGAAGAGCCTCCTGATGATGACATAATAATAAAGCCTGAAGTGGCCCCAGAATGCATGCAAGATGGGCCTCAGCCTCAGCCCGAACAACTTATTGAAGTGGATCTGAGTGATAGGCAAGATGCGCCAAGGCCGATATTCATAAGTTTGAGCCTTAGCCTAGAAAAGCGGGAGCAGTTGTTAAAGTTGATAACTTGGTACTCGGATGTGTTTGCCTGGTCATATAAGAAGATGCCTGGACTAGATCCCAACCTAGTCTCCCATTATCTTGATGTGTTCTCAAACACCAAACCAATCAAGTAAGCTGCTCGAAAATATCATCCAGATCATGAAGAGAAAATTAAGGAGGAGATTGAAAAACTTCAACAGGCAGGTTTCATCTGACCAATACAGTACCCCACATGGTTGGCAAACATAGTGCTAGTGAAGAAGAAGAATGATCAAATCAGAGTATGTGTAGACTTTCGAGATTTGAACAAATCTTGCCCGAAGGATGAATTCCCTCTACCTCACATCGACACTCTCGTCGATGCCACCTCTGGACACAAAATGTTCTCATTCATGGATAGATTCAACAGATACAATCAGATTAAGATGGTCGAGAAGGATGCAGAAAATACTGCTTTTAGAACACCTCTCGGAAACTTTTTCTATACAGTCGTGCCTTTCGGACTCCAAAATGCCGGAGCAACTTACGAAAGGGCTATGACTGCAATCTTTCATAATATGATCCATCATGAGGTGGAAGATTATGTTGATGATCTGGTGGTGAAATCCAAGAAAGAGGAGGACCATCTCCGAGACCTTGAGAAAGTATTCAAGAGGTGCCAGAAATTCAAAATGAGGATGAATCCTCTCAAATGTGCTTTTGGGGTGATGGCCAGGAAGTTTCTCGGGTTTCTTGTATATAGGCATGGTATCAAGGCAGATGAAGAAAAGGTCAAATCTATCAGAGCAATGCCTCTTCCGCATTCTCAGAAGGAGTTAAAAAGTTTCCTCGGGAAAGTGTCTTATATTCAAAGGTTTATCCTAGCACTTGCAAAGATCTCTACCCCCTTTAGCTCTTTGTTAAAGGGAGGCCAGGTACGAGTGGAACCAAGAGTACCAAAAGGCCTTAGAGAGAATCAAGGCGGCCTTGATCTCGCCTCAAACCATGATAGCCCCGCAGCCCGGGGTGCCTCTTATGTTGTACCTAACCTCAACCCCCCAAGTCCATAGGGGCATTATTGGTCCAAGATATAGATGGAGTAGAATGCCCGGTGTATTACATCAGTCGAAAGATTTAAGGAGCAGAAGTCCGATATACTCCGGTAGAAAGACATTGTTTAGCTTTGGTATTCAATGCCCAAAAGCTTAGACATTACTCTTAGCACATCAGATTTAGATTGTTATCAGAAGTGATCTAATTAGATACCTCCTCAGCAAGCCTGCTCTAACTGGAAAGGTGGCAAGATGGTTGTTAGCACTAGGTGAATTTAAGATCACATGTGTTGCTCCCAAGGCGATCAAAAGTCAAGCCTTAACCGATCTCCTTGTCCAATTTTCAAGTGGTGACTATGAACCAGTGAATGAACAATTAAGAGAAGAAGTGCATGCAACTATGGTTTCTGAGGAAAGCTTTTGGACATTGAGCTTTGACGGAGCAGAAGCCAGAGGGAAAGGTGGAACCGGGATAATCCTTACAAGCAAAAGTGGGAAAAAGTTATATTTGTCTTATAAACTGGATTTCCATTGTTCGAATAATGAAGTCGAGTATAAGGCTCTTATTTTAGTCTTGAAAGTAGCTGAGAAGCACAACATCAAGAAGATTTGGATTCAGGGAGACTCAAAGCTGATAATGAAGCAAGTTTTAGGATAGTTTGTCTTAAAGGAGCCTGCCTTGGCCACATACCAAACAACAGTCCAAAGACTTCTTGACAAATTTTAGAAGGTCGAAACAGAGCATGTGCCTCGCTCCGACAACAAGTTTTCAGATGCCCTCGTAACGCAAGGAGCAGGAGTTGACATTCCAGAGGAGAAGGCAAAAATTGTTATCAAGAAAAGAATAGAGCCCTTAGTAATACTCGAGAACAAAGACCTTCCGAAGGACTGGAAAGAAAAAGTCCTCAAACAACTCAGAAGTAAAGTCAGAAAATTGAATATGGCCAAGCTTGCTCAATTCATAATCATCCAAGGTGAACTTTACTTCTAAGGAAATACCAGATTCCTAGCCCGGTGTGTTGGCCAACAAAAAGCAAGCCTCCGACTACAACTGGTTCATGAAAAATCTTGTGATGAGAAAAATCCAAAGACAAGGCTACTATTGGCTAAAGATGGAGAAGGCCTCGAATCAACTATAGATAGAATGCCCCAAATATCAGTCATACATCCGAGAGGATGAGAGTTGCTTTGAAATTGATACCCCTGATTGGAGACAAGTCTACGTTGACTATCTTAAGGAGGGGACATTACCGGAGAACCCGAAGGACATTGCACACCTCAAGAGGAGAGTGAGGCGGTACTTTCTTAATCAGAACAGGCTTTACAGAAGAAGCATTGAAGGCACTCCCTTGAGATGTCTTTCCAAGGAGGAGTCTAATCTAGTCCTTGAAAGAGCCCACGACATTGAGCATCAAGAAGGGGCTCAGTTGTTCGAGCAACTGATACACCTTGGGTATTATTGGTCGACCATGTAGTCAGATGCCTTCCATCATGTGAAAAGGTGCCAAACTTGTCAGAAGCACGAAAACTTAATCCATGTGTCGGCCGTAGATCTACATACCATTCGACCGCTATGGCCATTTCATACCTGGGCTTTTGACCTTATAGGGCCTATCTTTTCACCATCCAAAGGATATAAATGGATCCTTGCAGCCACGGAGTTGAGCACAAAATGGGTTGAGGAAATCCCTTTGAAGAATGCTACCGGGCCCGCAGTCGCAAACTTTATCAAGGAAAATATCATTTGCAGGTTCGAAGTATCGAACACCATCCTTTCTGACAATGACACACCCTTCATAAACAGCATGCGATGAGCCTCCTAGAGACTTACCAAGTGAGGCATCACAAATCCACACCCTATTACCTAAAAGGGAACGGGTAAACAAAGGCCACGAATAAGACCTTGATAAGAATTCTAAGTAAGATGATGGATGAATTCGGTTGGACTTGGTCTAAACAGTTGATAGTAGCCCTATGGGCATATCGCACCTCAAAGAGAAAGCCAACTTAAGCAACTCCTTACTCCCTTGTGTATGGATCTGAGGCAGTGTTACCTATAGACTTGGAGACACTATCTACTTGGATGGCTCTCGCCTCGGGAATGGCACTTGAGCCTCGAACCACCAGACTGGAGGCATTAGAGGAAAAGCAAGATAGAGCTACAAAAGTCATGGAAAGATATCATGAGTCCATCGCCCGAGCCTATAATCAGACTGTGGTGCCAAGAAAGTTCGAAGAGGGTGATCTAGTATGGAAGATTGTAGACCCAATCATGCGAGGACAACCCCTGCCCAAGTTTTCTCTGAAATGGGAAGGGCCCTACAGGGTGGTTCAAGCAAGCTGGACCGATTAGCATAATACAGAACAGGAATGTCACAGAAAGATATCATGAGTCCATCGCCCGAGCCTATAATCAGACTGTGGTGCTAAGAAAGTTCGAAGAGGGTGATCTAGTATGGAAGATTGTAGACCCAATCATGCGAGGACAACCCCTGCCCAAGTTTTCTCTGAAATGGGAAGGGCCCTACAGGGTGGTTCAAGCAAGCTCAAATGGATACTACAGACTCGTAAGGGTTGAAGATGGCTTCCGAACAGGCCCGCTCAATGCAAAGTTCATCATGCGTTACTATCCATAAATAGACTCATCTATGTTAAGTCTCGTTTTCATTCTTCTTGCTTTATCTAAAAGTTGTATTTCCCTTATGTTATGAAGAAGTTGATTTCCTTTATAATGTATGTCTGTTCCATTACTTGTGATGAATATTTAATACGTTTGTCAAGAAAGTTAAAAAATTAATGAGAATATTTAAGCTTTTATGAACATGTGCATGTAATTGTTATTTCCATTGTATCATTCGAGATAAATGTTTTATTAAATAGAATGAGAAAACAGTGAGAAAATCTCCACAAACAAAACCTTTGTCATTCCATTGCATTGTCCTAGATAAAACATTTTTATTGAAAGGGGTCAGAAAGTAATGCAAAAACAAGAACTCAATCTCCTCTAAAAACACCCTCAAAGAAATTGCCCGTCAAATCTACATCCTAAGGATAAGCAGTAGAGTGTGCCTCTAAAGCCTCCAAGGCCCAAGCATAGCTTGGTTCAAGTTCACAAAGAGTTGCCTTTGTCTCATCTATAGAGGTCCGATAAGAGGTGTTATAACGATCCCGGTCACCTCGATCTTTGTTGTGTTCCGGACTCAGATTTCATGATTGTATGTTGTTGTCTACGTCTCGTTTCCTTTCTTTAATTCTTTGAAATGAAGTTTTGGGACTTGTTGGGTGAGTTTGGAACAGGTTGGTTGTTAGTTGGTATAAATGGTTGTTGCCCAGATTTTGGCCTCTTCGCTCGAGCGAGCCTTGTGTAATTGCCTCTTCGCTCGAGCGAGGTTTCTTGCGCTTGAGTGAGAACTGAGGGTCTTCACGTTTCTTTCCCAAACACAGATTTTCTAGGAAGATGTAAGTTCTTCGCTCGAGCGAGGCTTCTTGCGCTCTAGCGAGCCTTGTGGAAATGTTTTTTCGCTCGAGCGTGACTTCTTGCGCTCGAGCGTGTGTATATGTCTATGCGGACCTGAAGCTTTGCATTCTACGCTCGAGTGACACTTCTTATGCTCGAGCGAAGGTCGCGTATGTCAATCCGCAACTGAGTGATTTTACTTCACTTTTTGATTTCTTTTCTCCTAAAAACCCTAGATCGGCTGTCTCTCTCTCTAAAATACATACACACATACTCTCTCTCTACAAATAACCCTAGATCTAAGTGTCTCTCAACCCTAGTCCCTTTGTTAAACTGTTGGAGCATCTCAAGGGCTTTCCTTTGAATTCGAACAAAACCAAATTTGGGGCATTCCTGAAGTTCTTCATCATCTCCTTTGGTCTCCTAGCTTTGAGGTAGGATACTCTATTATTTAATGTGAGCTTTAACCTAGATATTTTTCATTTTGTTTAAATGGTGGAATTTGGAAAGATTTGGGTGAAGTTAGGATTAAGGTTTTGATATTTGAAAGAGGGGTTTTCATATTTGGTACCATATGTGTATGAGAGGTCGAAGTTAGGATTAAGGTTTTGATATTTGAAAGAGGGGTTTTCATATTTGGTACCATATGTGTATGAGAGGTCTGGAACATGATATTACTTGGGCATAATTGGTGAAATTTGGTCTTGGGTGTAATATTTGGAAAAAGGGGAAGATTGCCCTAATTTGAACAAAATAATTATTTTGTTTAAATAATGAAATTGGTATGAGAAATATGAAATTGAGAGAATGTATAAATGAATGGTGTAGTTGGATTTGATAAATCACTCACCTATGGGAATTTGATAAATTATCTGTTAATATATTTATTTATCTATTTAGAAATACCTACTTTGGGCTATCGGTGGAGGATAGCTATGATTGTTGTAGAAACTGCATGAGGATTAGGAAGATTGAACCTAATCAACTGAATTATGTCATTGGATATGACGGTTTGATTGAACCATTGAATATGTGATTTGATTAGTCATTGTATATGACAACGAGTTTAAATATATTGTATATGTATTATTGTGTGGGAGGAGATAGAGGATGTACTCTATTGTGTGGGAGGAGATAAGGGATGGACTCCATTGAGAATTAAGTTGGCCGGAGTGTCTAGGGTGAATATCCCGAAATCTTATATATTTATGAGTGTCGGTTCCCTCGAATGTGATTCCGTAAAATGGCAAGAAATAGAAGTATTGAATTGTGAACCATTGAGTTGTAGTCTCATATTGGTTGCTTTGATAATAATGAATTTGGTTAATTGATTTACCCGAAATGGAAGAATGGAAAGAAATTGAGATATTGGTTATCTATATTGAATGACCTTGAAAAAAATATGCCTTGGTTAAAAATATTGTACATTTATCTAATGCTCATACCTTAGTTAAATCTCATATATTGTGTGTGGGAGGAGATAAGGGATGGACTCCATTGAGAATTAAGTTGGCCGGAGTGTCTAGGGTGAAAATCCCGAAATCTTATATATTTATGAGTGCCGGTTCCCTCGAATGTGATTCCGTAAAATGGCAAGAAATAGAAGTATTGAATTGTGAACCATTGAGTTGTAGTCTCATATTGGTTCCTTTGATAATAATGAATTTGGTTAATTGATTTACCCGAAATGGAAGAATGGAAAGAAATTGAGATATTGGTTATCTATATTGAATGACCTTGAAAAAAATATGCCTTGGTTAAAAATATTGTACATTTATCTAATGCTCATACCTTAGTTAAATCTCATATATTGTTTTACCATATCTCTACTAGGCTTTGGCTTACTCTACTTGGGACGCCATTTTCAAGTACAAGTGACATGCCATCTCCAAGGGCATAGCTTGGGAGGCTTAGGGGCTGAAGGCTCCACTTTTGTTACTCGCTTTGTGTAGTGTAAATTCAAGCCAAGGGCTTTATATGTATAGAGCTAGGTCTCTTCTTTTGTGTAACCAAGTGATAACTTGGAAAGATGTAAGCCCGTATGGCACTTATTTTGTTGTTAGTAGTTAGAGTTACATGCTATAGTTTCGAGATGAACATTTATAAAAGTGTAATGCATGTAATATCTCTTGTAACACAGACTCTAATGAATAAAAATGTAACTCTTCTATCATGTTTGTAGATCTAATGAATAATTGATTTATGTAATTTTATTAAGGGCATTACACGAGCATAGACAAAACTTCTACCCATCGACTGGCGTTTGAGGCTATACCTAGGTGCTTCTGAAGCCAAGATAGATCCACTTGATGATGCTCCATGTCAAAGATCCCCTGATATGCTATCTCGACTACTTTCCCATTAAGGTCACATAGCCGTTGCCTATCCAAGCTATATAGGATAGTGGCAAAAGACTCGAGTAGACTAGTCTGAATGAGCGGACATTGGCAAGCAAAGGAAGCAAAGGTCATAGGGAAACTCGAATGCACAAGCTGTAGAACCGACGCAAACTCAGGAGCTATCCAATACTGGAGAAATGGTACTTTGCCAGAAACCGGAAGAGGAACTGGGACCGGAAAGGTATTAGTCTCAGGAACCTCCCCAATTTCTATCGAGTTAGATGAACCACCCAGAGGGGTAACTTCTGGGTGAAGTCCCGAGCCTGAAAATACGGGCCAATGAGGGGAAAGGCCAAAAGCATCACTATCAAAGTGAAAATTACTAACATTTAGATCCAAAACATTTGAAGGCACTCGTGATAAAGGGTCTCTAGCAGTAGTTTTAAAGGCATGTGTGTCCCTCGAGAAGGAGAGCCATGAGGAGTCATAAAGGGAGTCGAAGCAGAGTCCGAGGCAGGTGAAGGCAGGACCTTGGTAGCGACTAACACTGAAGAAAAGATAAAGAAGTTTTACTAGGGGCAGGAGCAGTAAAGCCATTTGAGTAAAAAGTTCTCACAGATAGAAATACATGACAAACTTCAGAAAGCAAGATTACATGAGGGAGAATCATTATGCAAAG